GCAGGGGAGGTGGTACACAGCTGTAATCCCTGCTACTACTTGATAGGCTGAGGCAGGAGGATCGCAAGTTTGAGACCAGCCTGGGCAACTTCATGAGCACTTGTCCCTAAATAAAAGGGCCGGAGATATAGCTCAGTGATAGAGCAGTTGCCTAGCATGTGAGAGGCCCAGGGCCCCACAAATACATGTTATATATATATTAATTACACGATGTACCAGGAACAATACTGCTGGGTGTGGTGGCCCACACCTGCAATCCCAGCACATGGAAGGCTGAGACAGGAGGATCACCATGAGTTCAAGGCCAGCCTGGGCTAAATTATGAGAACTTATGGGTGAGTAAGAAACTTACACATTTTAGAAACAATATTTGAGAATCATAATTTATATTTAACAAATAATGCTTTATTAACGTGATAGCTTGATTAAAGGATTTTTCTGGTTCTGCATTTGAAGCAGAACTTGGAAAAAATATCAGTTTTTCCCCCTGGCCTTAAGCAGTTTCTCCTGCTCCCTGCAGCTTCCTTCTGGGGCCCCTCCTCCCGACAGCTGCTGACCTCTGCTCTGCTCCAGGTAAGGTAAATAGCAAGATTCTTGCAAGCAGAGTCCTGCAATGGTCGGGTTTCTCAGGAATCCGTTTCCCTTCAAGGTTGGCCTCTGGCCTGGTACTGATAAGGTAATCAGACATATTTCTGTAAATGGAGTTCTCTTACATCTTAGAAACTGTTCTCTCAAAGCCAGGAGTGGTGGCGCATGCTTGTAGTTCCAGTACTTGGGAGGCTGAGGCAGGGGACTGCTGTGAGTTTGAGGCCAGCCTGGGCTACATAGTGAATTCAAGCCCTGCCTGAATTACAGAGTGAGACCCTGTCTAAAAAAAGAAAAAAATGTTCTCTATAGTAAACAAGGTCTTATGACACCCTAAAATTTCCTATGTCTGATTTCTTTCAAAGTTAAGCAGTTAAGGTGTCAATAAATAAATTTCTTTGTCAAGCCCTCTCACAAATGTATTAAGCCTGGAGCTCATCCTCTGTTCAGAGCCCAGCCCTTTGGACACGAGTCTGCTGCAATCAGGACACCTAACAAAATCCTCCTGCCTCTCGGTGGTCTCTCCTGTCTCTGGGATTCTGCGACGTGTTCCCCAAATCCTCCAGGTTTCAAAGTTGGTAATTGGAACAAATCAACTTTTAATCAATAGAACTGAAAGTAACTTGGCGGATGCAAGCTCATGAATCACTTTTGGTCTCTTATCGTTCTGCAGGGGACACTTCTGCGGAGGCAGTTGGTGCTAGCTAGCACGAGGGTCTTGCGGGCCAGGGTAGCACTGGGATACATTTCTGATGAGTACTTTTGAATTACATTATTTTTAAGATGTTTAGAGCTGAGATTCTTGCTGAGCCGTTTTTCTAAAAAGATTAACTCCTCACACAAGTCAGGTTCCTGTAAGTCCACCTTCTGTTTTCAGTGTACGCAGTGGTATTTTAATGTCCTGTAACCCGTGGAGGCTACAAAAAGCCAACTGTGGTTTTGCGATGTGTGTATGGTTCCGTCGCCTGTTTATACATTCTGCCAGTGAAACTCAGTTTTGAAATAGTCTTTCTCATTAATAATTTTTCATCAAAGCCTGATATGACGACGGTGTTCCTGGTGGCCAACGTGACCACCTTTACATGTGACCTTGATTTCTAAGGCTCTCACCTTACAGTGCTGCAGTTGATTTTGGAACCTGTTGATGTATTCTAATCACCTGCACTGTACTCTGCGCACCTCTGCTGTCTCCTAGCTCGCTGCCTCGGTTTACCCCCCAAGCCCCAAGGTCCTGTCCTGTTACGCTGGCCAGAGCTGGTCTTCGCACAGGGACCTCAGGCACAGGATGCCTCCTGTCTCCCGGTGAGCCTACGACTGCCGCCGTCACCAATGGCACCCTAAGCCAGGGCTCATGGTGTGCGGTCCACACAAGTGGACTCTCTGCTGTCCCTGGTCACTTACAGAACACAAGCTCACAGATAAAATTGAAAATTTCAAGATGGTGACAGCATGGCATTAACCCAGCAAGAGGCCCTTCTGAGGGACAGGCAGGGAAACGGCATCCTGGGTGTCAAATAACATCCGGGAGGTCAACAACTTCTAGGTGGACATGTGCAGTTAACACCCGGAGTCGCTGGTTCTTGGCTCCATCCTTGGTCCCTGGCCCGAGCACCGCCTGGCCTTAGTCCTCGGGTCGGCAGTGTCCAGCAGACCCAGCCTAGAGTGATGAGGGGAAAGATCCTGCGTGGGGCTCCCATCTGCTTAGTACCAAACGTGGGTGATGAGGCTTAGCGGAGCTGTGGGGATTGTCACATGGGACTTTCAAACTGCACAGCCCACGACCTGCGGACGTCCGGAAGTCAATGTGGTGACTGAGGGCTGCATCCCAGTGTCCTCTGTCCCAGCCACATCCCAAGGGCCTTAGCACCCCCAGCCCACACTCACCAGGACAGGACCAGCTTGGATCCTGCAGGTGCCAGCTCACCAGGTGGGCCCTGGAGCCCTGCAGAGTGCCAGGGCCGGGGCAGTGACCTTCCTGAAGCGCACCTGCTTCCATCCGTGCAGCGCCCCCAGCAGGCACGGGGAGCCCCATTCCACAGGTGAGAAAACTGAGGCTCAGGGAGGAAGTGATGGCTCACCTTCCCAGCTAAGGGGTCCTGGCTCCTGAGTCTGGGGCTGGCTGTGTCTTTTTGACATTCAGATCGGAAGTAGGCAACCTCGCTCCCTGGTGACGGGTGGGGAGGCGATGGTGAGGATAGTGAAGGGAGTGCTGGAGGTCCTGTGGCTCCAGGGGGCGGAGCCAGCCACTACCAGTGTGCTGCGTCCTCAGAAACCCTTCTCTGGCCACGGTGATGAAATGGAAAGTGCAAGCTACATGAGCTCCAAGGTTAGTCTGGCATTCGTGTTAAGGGTGCCAGATGAAACAGGACACCCAACCACGCCTGAGTTTCCGATAGGCAACAGGTAACTTTTCAGTATAAACATATAAAAAATATTGCCCCAACTTATGCGGTTATCTGTGATTCATCTGAAATTCAGATTCTGCCAGTGTCCTGTATTTTCACTGACTTTGCCTGCCTAGCTATTCACGGTCTCATTTGTGATATAGGTCATGCGATATAGGGCCCCCAAATGATATAAAGGGAATATCGTAACTCCCAACCTGTTAGATGTCCAAGTTTGTGTTCTCCAAAATCAAAGAATGGATTCTAGGAACGATGGAAGTTAACAGTAGGAAATACTAATTGTTGCCCGGGGACCCCACTGCTCAAGGGAGTTTTATAGACTGAAACCACGCGGTGAGGCAGGCATGAGGTAGGACAAAACTAAAATTGACATTAATAAGCTTACAAGTATAGCTGCTTAGGTTTTATTGATCCAGTGGAAAATCCCAAGGTGGGTATGAGGTGAGACAGTTATTACGGTCAACCAGTACAAGTACAGTCACGTAGGTAAAATTGATTAAATGGAGAAGTAAGTCACGTAGCAAGCGTACATGGAGCAAATGAGGATTTTCTGGGAAGGGACGGGCCAGGGAGGTTTTAGTCCCTCATCCTGTTTAGATGTCAATCCCCGCTGCTCATCCCTGGGGGAAGATGTGGGTGGAGTCGTTTCTGTCCTGAAGCCTGACCTTCAGTGAATGCTCCTCCAGCCACACTTGTAAAACGTTCTTATCTTCTGTGCCTACTCTCCAGGGCCCATAACGTCTGACTGCCTACAATGTTTTAACCTACTTAGTTGTCTGTAATATTTGGACAGCCTGGGGGGTTCTTGGGAACCCCCAAGGCTGACTGGGCAGGTCCAAGGGTGGCTCTGGTGGAGGATCCAGTCTAGGGGTGGTGAGAGCACGTTCAACACAGGGAAGGAGCGGGCCCTGAGAGAAAGATGCTCCTTCTCCTCCTCCTGATGACCCCGTGGTTGGAGAGAGAGCCGGGCTTTCTATCGGTCCCAGCCACGATGGAAAGGAACCAGCCCTCTGCCAAGGTACCACCAAGGACAGGGCCCCTCTAGCCACCTGTGCAGGGCTGGGGTGTCACGTGCATGTTGTGACCCATGGAAAGCTCTCGGAGCAATGCAGACTTTGTGTAATCCTGCTCTCTGCCCTCCCTACACTTTTCTGTTCCCTTCATCCCTCACCCAGGCCTAATTTTGCTCAGGGCAGCCACAATTTCAGCTAAAACTACAACTCCCAGACTCCCTTGCAGCCGGGACTGGCCAAGTGCCACCATCCTGCTCCTTGAGATGTCACGGATGGTGCTGGTTGGTGCCTTCTGGAAGCTCCTTACAAGGAGGCGGAGCAGCTGACACATACCTGTTTCTGCTTCCTTCCTGCCGGGAGCACAGAAGTGATGGTGGAGGTCGGGCAGCCACACTGGGGGCAGTGGGCCTAAAAATACCACCATACACTGGAGAAAGGCAGCAGATGTCTGGGTCACTCCTGGCCCTTGCTGCTCATGCCTGGACTTTCTCTTATGTGGCGATGCGCTGTGATGAGGCCTCTGCTGGAGGCAGCCGTCCCCACACCCTGCTGCCTACACTGCTGTGCTGTGCAGGATCGCCCGACCCTCCATCTCATCTCGTAGTTGTGTGCCCACTTACAGGTCAAAGAGCCCTGGCAATCTTTCAACAGAAGCTGCTGTGTCCCCACCACGTGCTCACTCCCTGGGCTCCCGGCCAGCCCCCTCCCGCCGCGCACTAGCTGCACACACCTGGCCCGGGGCTGTCTTGGCCTGAGCCCACCTTGCCTGCAGCACCACAGGCTGGGAGTGGAAGGAGGGGACCCCCCATCACTCCTCCAACAGAGACGCAGGGAGGCATCCCCTTGCCATCGGCCCCACACGGGCACTGCCCCTCCACACCCCGGGCGGCTGTCCTTCCGGCTCCTCCTCCCCAGAGTCACCTCCCAAAGAACCCATTTGCCTGCAGATCCTGCTTTCAAGGTCGGCTTCCGGAGGACAGCATCCCCTTCATCGGCCCCACACGGGCACTGCCCCTCCACACCCCGGGCGGCTGTCCTTCCGGCTCCTCCTCCCCAGAGTCACCTCCCAAAGAACCCATTTGCCTGCAGATCCTGCTTTCAAGGTCGGCTTCCGGAGGACCCCACCAGGACACGAGAAGCCAATGAGGAGCAGCGATTGTCTTACAATCCGATGGAGAAAAGCAAAGGGTCCCCAGGCTACTGAGACGATCACGAGGGCGGGGCTGGGTCTGAGTTCAGGGTTCCGGAGGCCAAGGCCAGAGTGGTCGCGGTTCCCCCACAGCTGCCCGGCCCCGGTCCTCTGAGGGAGTTTGCCGCGCTGCAGACAGACAGGGCTCTGCCCGGCTCTTTGCCAGACTCCGGACACAGGTGAAGCCTGCTGCCCGCACACGTGCACACATGGTTTATTTGCCCTCTGTCTGAACGTCCCTCTGTCCTTCTGCCATCTCGGGTGCCTGGGTGACAGGCTGGGGTCCCGGGTGCCGCACCAGTGCTGGGCTTCATGCTGCAGAGTTGGAGGGGACAGCAGGAGAGCTCAGTGCTGTCCCGAGATGAAGGCCGTGCGGGGCACCACCTGCACCCTGGTTACCAGCCCCGAGTTACCCTGGTGCCACCTCTGAGCTGTGCCTGGTCACAAGACCCAGTCCAGGGCATGTGTGCAGGAGATGCAGGAACGGAAGGGCGGGGTGGGGCCGGGAGGGGAGCAGGAGGCAGTGGCTGGGGCCAGGCTCCCTGCTGGACATCGGCGAATGCATCCGAACGCCACACCCTCCACTTCGCACAGGCCCAGAGCCGAGTCCGGGACACTCACACGAGCACCCTGATTGACGGCCAGCCCCTCCCGGCACCCCGAGTCTGTGCGCCCCCGGTTCTCTACCTGCCCAGAAGCTACAGCCAGGGCCCCCGTCTCTGCATCCCCGGTGCCAGCTTGGGGCTGCCACCATGGGCACTGCAACAGGGAGGGCAGCACCACTGCCCACCACCGCGTCCCCAGCAGCCAGTACGGACTGGGACGCACTGGGCGCGTGGGACACTGGTGAAATGAAGGAAAGAAAGTGGCCACATGTGTGGACCAGAGAGTGGACAGCTGGGAGTCTCGGGGCTGGGGCTTCCTGCACCGGCGAGGACGGAGGGAAAGGGGGACGCCGGGACTGGCTCACCTGTGTCCGCCATCTGCAGGCTGAAGCAGGACAGCAGCAGGAGCATGTTGAGATTCTCCAGCTCCTTCTCCAGCACCAGCCCGCACGTCCGCAGGCCGGCCAGTTCCACCTCCAGGCGCTGCTGCTGGCTCTGGACAGATGACAGACAGACAGACAGATGGTCAGGTGGATCAAACGCAAGCAGGGAAGCAAGCAGACATGGTGTCAGGAGGCCAATACACAAAGAGGTGAGAAAATAAATACATGCAACAGCGAACACGTAAATATGGAACTAACGGAATAAATAAGCACATACTAACTAACTAGATGGTTAAGTAAATCAATAGACAAGTGAATCAGCGAAGGTGCTGCCAGGGAGGCTCGGACTCAGTTCATGGGCTGGGGAAGGGGATTCCAGGGGCTCAGGGAGCTGGGTCTGCAGCTGGCTTGGTCTCGGGTCCACCTGCAGGGCCTCGTGGGCAGACATGGGGACCCCGGGCCCCGGGCCAGCCCCTGGGACGGCTGTGTGTACGCTGTGGGCTCCTGGGGACGGGGCGTCTCCCCTCCCCCTCCCACATCCTGGGGGAGGCAGAGCTGCACTTGGGGGTGACAGATCCTGAGAAGCCCTGACCAGCTACTTTCTGGGGATCTCAGAGGGGCCCGTGTGTGGCTCTGGGTAGCCACGGTGTCTTCCTGCTTTTCAGCTTAACACTCAGCACCCCCCAGCATTATTAACAAGTGTCGGGGAGGCGTCAACCACACCGCAGGGAAGAGGGATTCCCATGGAGTTTGGGGGCATGGAAGTCTGGGATGAAGGGGCTGTGGTGGAATGGGGGCAGGCCTCGCTCCACAGCAGAAGCGGCGACCTCAGGGGACACCCCTGGGTGCTGGGTACCTACTGGGTACTGTGCTGAGTACTCCCTGAGGGTCTGCTCACCCCCGCCCCCGGGCCCTCTGAAGCCATCACTGGTGACTGGCAGCGGGGTAGGCAGGGCCAGGGGTCGAGGCACAGACAGGGCTGCAGGAGCCTTCCTGAGGGCCTGGGACCGCCTGGTGGGATCTGCAGTCCCCAGGAAGACCAGTGGGGCCTTGAGTGTGTCGTGTCACACTTGCGTGCATGGGAGATGTGCAGGGACAGAACATGCACGGTTTTGTTTTGTTTTGTTTCTTGACATAGGGTTTTGCTGTGGAGTCCAGGCTGGCCCCGAACTCACTGTGTAGCCCAGGCTGCCCTCGGACTTCTACTGATCCTTCTGCCTCAGCCTCTGGAGTGATCAGATTACAGGTGTGGGCCATGTTTTAGGGTACATGAGGCACACGTGTGAGCAAGCAAGTTACACAGGAGTTTGAGAAGATTTTTGTTGTGGAGGCTTTCCGGGTACTGAAGATGGAAGCCAGGGCCCCGCGGGCTACACCCCAGCCCTGAGCATTATCCTTAGCAACCTGTCTCCACCCTTGGCTTCCTGAGCAGCCCCACGGCCGGGGGCACCTCCCTCCCCCAGCTCCCTGGGGCTCGCACCTGGAACTCCGCCAGCTGCCTCTGCAGGGCCTCCTGCTCCGCCTGGGCTCTTCCCAGAGTGCTCCGCAGCTCCCCCAGCTCAAATTCCTTCACTGAGACCAAAGGCAAGAGAAGCCCTCATCGTGGGCTCTTCTCGGCCCAAGCCTCCTGGGCCCTAGCTGTGCAGCCCTGAACCAGTTCCTTCACCTCTCTGGGCCGCACCGATAGCACCTTCAGAAGGAGGGGCGACCAGTGCCTCCCTCACACCCCAGAAATCCGTTCATACAGTGCTGTGGGTTGCGGGACAGCGGGGGCCCAGCATGCACAGGGTTTTCGTTTCTTCCTCTGGTGACACAGCGGACGTCTGTGGAGAAACGGGTCCGGCCTACAGCAGAATAAAGGCCCGGAGACCCTGCTGGCACCCACAGGCCTGGGATCCCGCATCTACACAGCGGGCCTGGCAGGGAGGCTGGGAAGATCACGGTTGTCCTCGGCTCGGCCACTCGCCAGCCTCATGAGGCGACGTGGCGGCGCCTGGGT